TTTCCTCTCTTCCTTTGGCCTAAAACACTGATCGCTCAGATCTTTCTGAATTTTCGAATGGAGGAAAAGGACTTTCTATTTTGGATCAGCAAATTCATCCCACAAGCAGAGATGGAAGAGGGCATTTTACTTAATTTGTGTTGTACCACCTGCCCCGCTCCTCCCATGATGGTCTCTGGTAACTCTTGATGATCAGAATTCCATGAGAAGCTTCCCTGATATTGCGCATGTTCAAACTGAAAAACCCAAAGGTATAAGACCAAAGTCACCATAAGCAAGATTTAAAAACTATCATCTGAACCCATATGACAAAAGAGTAACTTTTAGAATACATAAATACACATATACGGACAAAAAGAAAAACCTGGAAAAATGAGCAAAGAATGCAATGTGTAGTTTATAGTAGAGCATATACAAATGGGCAGAAACATATACGGAAAGATACTCAGTTTTACTCATTAGTAAAGAAAGGTAACAGAAACAATGACCTGTAGCTATGGATGTGAAAAAAATAAAAAAAGGACTGACGGTGTTGGTAAAGTTGTCGGGAAACAATCACACACACTATGGTAACTTGGTGTATTGTTTTGGAAGGCAGCTCTATACTATTTATGAAAATTGAACATGAATATGTGTCCCTTTGACTTAGCAGTTCCTCACCCATAACTCATGTAAGTATGCAAAAATACACATACATAAATATAAGTATGGAAATATATATACCATATATGTAATATACATGTATGGAAAGTTGTGTATGTTATGCATGCATATATATGTATTTATGATTTATTTGTAATTTACATATATGGACATATTTATATACATGTATAAAGATATATGTCCCTTTAACTCAGCTGTTCCACTCCTATAACTCATACAGGTATGAAAAATATAAAAATATATGTGTGCATATATATACACTCATATTTAATATTAAAGATATACATAATATATACATGTACATATAAGTATGGAAAGGTTTTACACACGGACACACTTTGTGTGCTTGTGTGAGAGAGAGAGAAAGAGAGATGTATTCTTAACCCTAGTAATTTCTCTCCTGTAAATTTCTGCAGATAGTTCACTTAAGGATGCAGAATAGATTCTTTATAGTGTCATATGTAGTAGCAAGAAAAAAAAGCAAGAGAGAAAATAGGAGATAATTTATGTGTTTGTCAATAGGTTTCTTTTTAAAACTGGGTTTCATCCATAAAACACAATACTATACGTAGGATGCCTGGGTGCCTCAGTCTGGGACCTCTGGCTCAAGCCTTGGTCTCAGAGTTTGTGGGTTTGAGCCCCACGATTGGCTGTGCTGACAGCTCAGATTCCGTGTTTCCCTCTCTCTCTGCTCCTCTCCTGCTCATGCTCTCTCTCAAAAATGAATAAACATTTAAAAAATTTAAAAACTACAATACTATACAGCCACAAAAAAATTTAAGTGTATCTATATGTCCTGATAAGGGAAGTTTCCAAAGATCTATTACTAATCGAAGAAAACAAGTTGTAGAATAGTATGATCCCATTTACGTTTTCCAACTGTGTACGTTATAGGTACCTATATTTCTAGAAGGTCAATTAAAAATTTTTAAAAATAATAGTTACCCCTGCGTAGTGAGAATGGGGAGGGGTAGTGAGGTTTTAGATTTTCACTTAATTTTGTTTATTTTCCATACTGTTTGAAAGTTTATCATGAACAAGAATTTTAAAGTAACCACCAGAGATATCTCAGCCTCAAACCTAGGGATTCTAATTCTGTAGACTGGATGTTGGTCAATAAATCTAAATTTTAGAATATCTCTCTATATAGGTGATTCTAATATGGAGCCAAGATTGAGAACTGCATCCTTATATGTTGGTCGCAAATGACTTGTGGGGATAGCACTCTCATTGTAAAGATATAATAAATACCTAAGGTGAATTTAAATGAAATATCCTTTAATTTTTCCCTAGAAAAAGGATGATATTAAGTTCTTTTGTTTGTGGTAAGATTTAAGCAGATAAAAGGCTCTTGCAATATGGAATAGATCCTTATGTGATAACTGTATCAAAGGCAATCCAGAGAATAGAGAATAGAAGATGACAAAATATTTTAGGCAAGGTTAGTATTTATAACTCTAGGTGACATGTTGGGAGGGGGTACAGCAATAAAAGGTTCTTCTGTGCCCTAGGAAAGGTAGTAGAGTTCAGCAACTCATACCCACGGGTACTGAAGGTCTCATGGGGGAAGTACAGGTGCGGAAAGAGGGGCTTTTGAGTGGGAAGGGAATTAATAGGTTTTTGGAGTTCCTTTGTAAACTTCCACTGTAATGTAGATGGTTGTGAGATAGCACATCATCTTCACACATCCTCATGGTCCCTGCCCGCCCCCCCCCCCAGCAAATTCTTTGGTTTGTATTTATTTCAAACTTCAAATTAGTAAATCAGAGTTGGTTGCTGAGTTTTGATGTACTTGTTGATTTATATTACTGTGCTTAATATGTATTCCATGCTGGTTACATATTATTTCACTAGCTGCACTAGTTTTGAAGCAAATTTGTGGTAAAAGTAACAAAAGGATTATAAATACATAAATTAGGTAATTATATATAGTATACATTATACATATATTACACATAATTATATAATTAAATATAAATTATAAGTGATATATAAAAATTACCATTTCTAAAAGTATTTTTTTTCCTTATGCAAGGAGTGATACTAAAATCTGACTGGGGGCTTCAAGAGGCAAGAAAGGAGCCAGCCCATTTGTAGTAGCTGAACTTGAGAAAGTTTTATAGAAAATCAAGGTAGTGGATTCAAATTATTTTAGGCCTGGGAATATTTCACAAATCCCATAAGGAAGTAGACCATATAAATTTGTTTTGGTTTGATTTGATAAATTCTGTTGAGTTATTGACCCTTCTTCCACAAAACACCACCACGCTGCTCCTCCTTGTTTTCATTTTGCTGCTGTCATCTCCTTCTCTGTCCTCCTGAATGGCTGACATGTACATATTTAGGTGATACAGAAGTCTTCCCTAACCAGATGGTTCCTATCATCGAGACAAAATTTAAGGACTTAAAGTTTCAAGGAATCCAATAGAAACAAACGAGCAAGTACAGACACTTAGAAATGGGTCTGTCAGATCCATGACAGCTGTTTACAGAGTTACTCATCTTCTGTTGACTACATATTTTAGCATTTTCTTTCCTTTGCACTCTGATATCCCCAACCTTCTTTCTTTTTCTCTTTTAAAAAAGCTCTATGGGCCCAGCATAGAGTTGGGCTTGAACTCAGAATGCCAAGATCAGTACCCCCAAATAGAGAGTCTTATACTCTACCCGCTAAGCCAGCTAGATACTCCAGCCCAACTTTTTGTCTTGGTTCTAACTCCTACACCAATCCATTCTAGGTCAGAATCCCTTCTTATATGCTCATCTTAAAACCACTTTTTCTGAACATTTGTATTAGTTTGCAACACCTACTTCAGCATTACTTTATAAATCTATTAGGTCTACTTATCTCACCTTAAGAAACTAATTCCTCTAGTAACTCTGGGTGGCATAAGAGAGATGCAAAGAGCAACAGGACAAATGAGAAGTAAAATGAAGTGAGAAAGACCTTAACACTATTGATTTTGCAAAGCATCCTTTCTGTTCCTACTTCTCACAAATTTGTCTGTAATTTTTCAACTAACTAGTGGAGGTGGTGCTTATAAAGATTTTTTTTTTCCTGCCCAGGGTTCTAGAATTTGAAAAGATGTTTTTCCTTTCTATTCTTCTATGTATCCTTCCTTGATTCATACTGTGACACAATTATCACTAATAAAAGGTAAGACACAACTACAGTCATGTGTGTGACAAATTCATAAAGGGGTAAAACTTTAGTGATGGTAGAGAAGTTAGGAGTGATCTGGTCCAATTCCCATCTTTTAAAGAGGAAAATTGAGGCTAATCAAAGTCACATGACTCAGTACATCATGTAGTTGAGGAACCAATACAGGGACCCAGGTCTTCTATCTTCCAGTCAGGCCCTAATTTCTCTTTCCTCCATTCCTTCCTGCTTCCCTGGCATTATAAATAGAACAGGAAAAGATCATGAAAAGTTTTGTGAAACAACTGTTGCTTCAGCTAATTTTTAAAATTAAAATTTTAGGGGTGCCTGGGTGGCTCAGTCAGTTAAGCATTCGATTTTGGTTCAGGTCAAAATCACAGTTCATGAGTTTGAGCCTGAGCCCCGAGTCACTCTGTGCTGACAGCTCAGAGCCTGGAGTCTGCTTTGGATTCTGTCTCCCTCTTTCTCTGCCCTTCCTCAGTTTGCACTCTGCCTCTAAGTAATAAACATTAAAAAATTTTAAATTAAAATTTTATTTTCTTACATATGTTCTGTCGTCTATCATCTCCATGTTCATGCCTATTTGTTGCTTGGCAATTGGACACTATGAAATTATACCAACCTCCAAATTATTCAGGTATCCACAAAAGAACTCAATAGGTTGTTAATAGTGAAAACTTAGTAAGTACTGTATGTCAGAATTTGCTTATGATTAGCTGCTGACATATAAATGAAAGCAGACTTCTTGTATTTTTTAAATATTACTTACGTAAGTAATCTCTGCACCCAATATGGGGCTTGAACTCAGGACCCCCAGATTAAGAGTCACATGCTTTACCAACTGAGCCATCCAGGAGTCCCAGACCTTTTATATTTTAGATGACACTGACTTTTGCAGTGTCAGAAGGCAGTTCACAGAAGTGCTTCTTTTGATGATTTATATTCCTTTTCAGGTCACTAATTCTACTTGCTCTTCTTTTGGTTAAGTGCCAATGTCTTGAACATTGGAAAAATTATACCCTATTATAAAAAATATTTCTCTGTCTTGTTCTCATCTGGGAAATGGTACCTATCTCTCAGGTTTAAGTATTAAATGTACTTCAAAGCATGTCTGGCACAACTTACGTGTCAATAAGTGCTTACATATTATTCCTAGTAAGAAATGCTGATTCTCAACTAGCTTTCCCCAGTAATGTATTTATTGGAGGAATAAAGAATTGATGGGGAAGTTTTTAGCCAGTTCAAAGAAACCCCTTCTATTAGTCTCTCAAATTAGTTTTTTTCTTGTCTGTTTCTCTCATATACACACAGTGTATAAATTTTTTCCTAGTATGTGTAGCAGGTTTTTTAAAAAAAATAAATTGTTGGTATCACTTATCGATAATCATTACAGAGAGTGAGAGAAATGAACATCTTTGAGTCTTTAACACTTCTCAGGAGTTAGTGGTAAGTCCACGCTCATACATTTTTAAACCAAATTAGCCAGGTCTTTGAGTCCAATCTATTGGGGTTTTTTTCTTTATTAAAGCATTGAAGTATCAGTTACTCCAATGCTATAATGAATCAAGCAACACTGGAAATTGAATCCCCAAAGCAGTGCACCTTTAGTCTGTTCAGCAGATATTAAGACATTCCGTGAGCTATCATCATAAATTTTCAACAGTTTGGTACACCGTTTACTATTTCAGCAACTCTTAGGGAAATACCCCGAGATAATTTACTGAGTGGGTGCATCAGTTTCCTAAAAGACATTTGGAATATTTCATAGTTTGACCCCCGGGAAACTCTAGCAAAGGAAAGGGCCAGAAAACTTAAAGAAATAAATAGGTTAAGGACAAATGGGTCTAGGCTTTGGCACTGCGCCAGAGCTTCATTTCAAAGCTGCAGTTCTTCCTCATTTTTTTTTTTTTTTTACCAAGGAGCACGAGTTTCTTTCTTATTTAAAGCCTCCCAAGTAAGTTAAGAGTGTCACTGAAGAACAACTCGAAAGTTCAAAATATCTCGAAATCTTTTCGACTTCCAGGGTTTTTTTGTTTTTGTTTTTTTAACATCCCATCGTATATAGATGAAGCGAATGGTTGGTTAATGGGGACTGTTGCCCTCCCTGCAATCCATCACTTCATCCTGGGGGCTGACTTCTGGACCCCGCAAAGAGTCTCCCCTCCACCGAATAACAGATGGCAAGCGCCAGTCCTTTTCCGAGAGCTCTTCTGAGTCATCATGGCTCCGGGATTTCAGAACCTGTGGAAAAATTCACGGCGGCTCTCGCGTCGTCGTCCATTCCCCGTCAGTATCCGGCGCGCGTCTGCGGGGCTTCCGGGAGCAGCGCTTTCGCGGGTGACTTGCTTGCGGCGCAACAGTGTGGAAAGCCTCGGGCACCTGGTGACGCCCGTGTCTGCGGGCCTCGCAGTCGTCCTCGTCGGCTCTTCAGCCTTCCGGGCTTCCGTTACAGCGTCCGTGTGCCCCACGCCTTACAGTAAGGGCTTCCGGGGCGCTCCTTTAAGGTCAGTGGGGAGGACGGATCAGCCGCCTCCCTCGCAAATGCCAGTGGCCGCCGCCTGCCACTCTGCCACCGGCGTCTTTCCTGGGAGGTTTCGCAGGCACCAGGGATCACTGGAGACTTTACAGGCCACTTTTTTGCCAGAAAACTCTGAAAAGTAAGCAACACCTGGGAGCTTCATATTCAGCTCCTACGTCTCTCTGGAAGTCCGCTTGCACACGGTGAGTGTGAGGACCGGATCCAGAGAAGAAGACAAAAGGGAAAGAAAAAAAAGTTATTCACGGTCCGCTTCTCCTCCCCCACGCTGAGTCAAGTCTCCCGGAAGGCTTTCAGGCTTTCCGCCACTCCACATTTGTAGCCTTCCCTGAACTAAGCTGGGGGTGGGGCACAGGGGAGAAAAGAAATGTCCTGGTGGGCGGCTGGGTGGACCCGCCATCAATCTCCAGCCGCTGCGCGCAGGTACCGGACGACGTCGCGGTGGCCCCGCTCCTCAGCCAGGTCCACGGGCAGGCGGCCCCAGGCATCGCGCACATCCAGCCTCGCCCCGGCCCGGTGCAGCACCACCAGCGTGTCCAGGAACCCCTCCCGGGCGGCGTCGTGCACAGGTCGGGTGAGGGTGGCGGGATCGGCGCAGTTGGGGTCCGCGCCGTGGAGCAGGAGCAGCTCGGCCACGCGAGTGCTGCCCATCATCATGACCTGCGGGAGAGAGCAGAGGGGTCAGGGCGGCAGTGGAAGCGGCGAGACGCAGGCCTGGCCACCACAGGTAGAACCATTTCAAAGAAAATATCTATTCATGAAGTTTCTACCTAACACAAAGGCGCTACGAACCTCGGGTGAGTCTGGTTACGCTTAGCTTGCTGATGCACTCACCGCCCCCTACCCCCCTGCCCCGTTGTACTTTTTACTCAGCCCTAATTGAGTTCCATTTCATTTTTCAAACAAGTAGAGACGAGAGAGCTGATAATAAAGCGCTAATTGTCGTTGTGCGGAAAAAGAAAATTTTGATTTTCGTTGGAACATGGGAGTCTATTTTGTTAAATGATTTATGGGCAGAGTTAAGTGTAGAAGCCTTTAAAGTCTTAAATTATTTCCCTTGATGTCTTTCCTACCCCAGCCATAATCCACCTCTACAAATATTTATTAGGGAGTCAGCTGATATTTTTAGGAGGTAGAGTCATGCTAATTTAGAGGGGAAATAATGCTTTAAGTTGTTTAGTTGTCCTAGTAAAGCCCCTGTCTGAGGTTTTTACTTTTCACTGGCCTGCACGTCTGTGGTCATAAACTGAATATGGTCTGATAATTTGGGTCAATTTGGAGATAGAGAGAAAAAAGAAAATAAAATGATGAAAACAATTTTTTTAAACAAATGATTTACCAGTTTTAATATTTTAAGTTAACGTTATGGGTAAGGTATAAAGTTTAAAGGGTAATATACTTAATGTAACATAAGCATGTAAAATAAACACTATATTTACACTGTACAGGATTTTATAATGTAATAGGATTTTATAATGTTAGATGGTAAATAATTTGCTATATAAAAAGCTTGGATGTTAGTCAAATCAGAGCAATGCATAACTTAGAAAAAAGATGTTTTTAGAGCAATAATCCTGTAGCAGCCATTTGTGTATATGTACATTATGCAAGCATTTACTTTCTTATATGTTACCAATAAAACAGTTTTTTATAACTAAATATCCAAAATGGAGTTATTTGTTCTCGCAAGTTCATGTATTTTAAAATGTACCATGTAATGGAAAGATACTTGCTACAAGCATGCTTTTGTAATCCATTCTGTATGATAATTAAACAAAAATCTATAGAAGCACTTTTATTCTTATGTAATAGTCAGACACTTCTGACATAAAAGGAATTAAGTACTTTTTTTGTTTCATGAATATTAGAAGCATCCATTTCCTCCCTTAACAACCATGATATGTATTTCATACATAGAGGGGAAAAAAGTGGTTTTTGTTATCTCAGAAAATGGTGAATTAAAACTAGAATTAAAATCTTTTTACAATTATTAATATTATTTGAAGTCCAAGAACTACTTTACAATATTTTTGCTGCTTCTTATAACACTTATTCTAAGAATGCAAAAGGAACGAACACATATTTTCTTTAAAAGTCTATACAGTTAACAAGATTCCTTAATAATAGTTTGGTTCTAGAATGTGATATTGAGATGAATACTAATTGTGACCATTATAGTCAACAATAAAGCACAAAATATTACCTTGGGTTTTAAAGAAATTTAAAAAATATGTATGTATTCCTTAAAGCAGGATTAATAAACATAATGAACAAAAGGGTTTTGTCAATGAAGAGGATAATTATTTATGTAGACCCTCTGCCAATTAAAAAGGACCCAACAGTTGCTACGAGCATGCTTTTGTAATCCAATCATTCTGTATGATAATTAAACAAAAATCTATAGAAGCATTTTTTTCCTTATGTAATAGTCAGACACTCTGACATAAAAGGAATTACTTTGGTGGAGGAATGCTGATTTATCTCTTTGTATTCAATTTGCCTCTATGAGAAAAAAACACAAAGAATTTTATATCAACCTGGAAGTTCACGGTGAATTTTTTCATATACTGGTATTCTGCATGATTCCTGAAATTTAATACGGATTGTGTAACTTGTAATTTAATTATCTATCATTGAAAGTTGATCGATATTTGTTTAAAGACAAACAGACAAAAGTTTTTCTCCCCAAATAACCTCTCCTTTTCTTCCTAATTGAATCTATCCCTTGTATCTGTGATCATGAGACGGAAGAGGGAATACTGGCATTTTTTCCACCACTAAAAAGAAAACCAAACTGAAGTAATGTTTTTTTCCAATCCCGTTCTTTAGGATCTTTGGTGCGGGAGAACCTGTTTTACACCTAGGCTCCACACCTCCAGGAAGAGAGAAAAGGGATGTCGGTGAAGTTCTCTGTCCCAGCCGCGTCCCACGGAGGCCGCTCCCCTGCACTCATGCGCCCCCTGTCGGCGAGGCCCCAGGGCCCCAGCTAACCTGGATCGCGCGCCTCCCGAAGCGGTTGACTCCGTTCGGATCCGCACCGGCTTCCAAGAGCTGCTGCACAGTGTCTACTTGCCCCCGCGCGGAGGCGTTTGCCAGGCCCGCGCCGTCGCCGCCACCACGGAGCATGTCCTTGTCCTCCTCGCGCATTTCGCAGTCCGCAGACGCAGACTGGCCCGGATAATCCACCGCTGGCCGTGAGCTTCGCCACACTCCTCCCTTCTTCCCCCACCTCGCCCTGGCGCACTCTCCCCTACGTGGAAGGGCTCAGGTCAGCTTCAGCTCTCTTTCGCTGTGCTTCTGTGGCGTAGGAGGTCCGTGCAATGGCCGAGCCACTCGAAGCTAAAGCGGGCTTTTTCCAGCTCGTTCCCGGGAAAAACCGCTTCGCCTGGCTGCAGCGGTCCGCCTAGGTGGAGAGCCTGCAGGGAATGAATCCGTTTCCAGCTGGGAGGCCGGACAGGGTATTCCCCACCCCCTTAGGCTCCGCCCCCTGCCCGTCTGTCCGGCCCGGGCACGTCCCTACTTTGCTGGCTGGGAGGACCGGCCCTCCTATGACGTTACAGCTGAGGAGGTAGGGGCGGGGGTGGCGGTGGGGGGTGGGAAGCCAGTCAGATAGTGCTGGGACGCATGCGTCAGGCACCAAGCGCGGACAGCCTGTTGTCCTGTTCGCCTAGTGTCCTGCAAGGCCTTAGCTAAGGTTTTGGAAACTTTGAATCAGTGCGCTCAGCTCCTAATCCGCTTCCTCCAGCAGGCGGAGCAGAGGATTTCTATTGCTCAGTCCCGTGCCAGCTGCTTTCACTTTGGAGACGTTAGTCGCTCCTTGTGTAATTGAATGGCTGGCTAAGAAAAAGGCATTTAAAATAACTTCGGCTCTCCTAAGATTTCTGAAAGTGACAGCTTTGCACCTGTCATGCAGGTTAAATTCATCCCAGGCAGTACTTGAACTTCACTAGCTTTACATCTTGCACCAATCTTAGCAATTTTCTTTTGGGTGTGTCTTCCTATTTGAATCTGTCAAAAATCAGCCAATGAAAAATCCTGAGAATCCTGTTTTGAATGTGATTTTCTTTTCATCTTTGAATAATGGATACACAGACACACACACACACACACACACACACAGCTCCAAAAAGCAAACCGAGTTTAAGATTGACAATGGCAAAGTGGTGCACGTGAGACATTAAAAAATATATATATATTTTAAGAATCTGAAATTCCAGTTTCATCATATTTGAACAGTATTATTTTTGTTTGCACTCGTACCTATTTAAGCCCACTTCGCAAGTATTTGATTTTTATTTATCATGAGCAATAAAGGAAATTTATGCAGTAATAATGAAACATAATAAAACAGGGGTGTGGTGCTGGGCCTGTCATTAAACAGGCTGAACCTGTCATTAAATCCTCTTCTGAAGATTTAAAGGCCAGTTGCTTTTCTTTTCTTCCCCATCTTAGTAGGTGAGTTTGAATTAACATATGCATTGCTCTAAAGATTTAAGAAATTACAGCTGATGTTCAGTTGTAATAGGAAGAGAACACAAGTTATGTATCTGTTGTCTGAAAGCTTTGGTGAGGAACCACGTTACACTGAGCTTTTCCTAATATGGAACAGTTCTTATTTACAAGATCTTTTTATTTATTTATTTATTTATTTTGGTTCAGAGGAAGGCAGTTTTTAAGGGAAGGCAATTGCTTGCTTACTCACAAATGAGAGTTTGTTTCACATGTTTCTTCTAGCATACCTTAGCTTGGCTTCCCTTCCCCCCAATCCATTGTAGAGTAAAGAAGAGCTCTTTAAAGACAGGGGAGCCCACGGAAGTGGTAGTTAGGGATGAAGATCTACTAATTGAGACAAAGCTGAAATCCACCTGGATAGAGAAGGGGAGGGGACAGCATTAATAACCATTTTCCCCTCTCTTATCCAACCCCCATTTCTTAGTTTTCAGTCTCTTAATTTCTCTATCTTTTCCGCTTATTTGAACCTCCACACTTACCTGAAAAAGAAAAGTTCTTTTATTTGTTGATGGTGACTCCATTCCTTGGTCTGGCCAGAGGAATAGAAGTCTACTTCTGGATGAAAAAGCATAGATGAGCTTTTTCCCCCGCCAGTCTTTAGGGCCAGTCCCCACCCACAGTGTACTGGGGATTACAGATGTGTAGGTAGAATGGGAGAAGGAAGAGGAAATATGGACAGTGGGAAGTCAGAGTTTTTTCATAGTCACTCTGAGGAGCTGAGTCATCAGTTTCATATAGGTGGATGTGCTAGCAAATGTCTTCATCAGAATAGCCTAGCTACCCTGAAATTTAGTGCACAGCGAAAGGTAACAAGGCAGGTTGCCTTTTAAAGGAGTGTCAGATGTTTTCTCTAATGGATCCAGTAATTAGTTCAACAAAATTTAGCTCAGGGTATCCTATACTCCAGGAGTCCACAATTGAATAAGATATGGGTGCTAGATTTTAAGAAAGTCTCCCTGGTGGCGCTCAAAAGTAACAGAGTTTCAATTTAATGTGATTACTTCACTATGGATGTATACATAGGATATTTTGGGAGTAAGAAGTTGGGGGGGCTTAACTCAAGATGGAGATGCAGGGGATTTCTTAGAGGCATTGCCAGATGAAGAGTCTTTAGAGAATGCATCAGAAATTGTTTCCTGTGTTCTAGCTTTGAGCTTTGGATTTCTCTGAAAATTAACACAAAAAGGGTAGAAAAAGATGGCATGGCCAGTTGAGTCACCTTCTTAAGTGGTAAGCATGGCCAAAGTGAAAAATAAAAACTATTTAAAGTTGATAGGAAGATTGGAGAAAATTGTTTTTAGTCGAAGGGGACATAGATAAAGAGTGGTTAGATAGGGAAAAAGCCAATTAGCGGAATGACAGAATCTTCAGCGAGGCAGCTTTGTGAGATTCACCAAGTAAGTTGACAGGAAAAGAATTTTGGACGGGGGAAATGTTGCCAGCGATGCCTACGATTGCTAGCACCACGGACAGCGCTTTCCTAGTAAGCGTGTGTGGGTGGTCCTCACCCACTCCATAGTGAGAATTGCTGAGATTCACACTTGATCTTTCAAACCCTTTGTCTCCCCTGAAATTCAAAGAAAGCCACATGGAAACTTCATGAACTTCTTTACAAAACATCTTTACAATGAACTACTCAATCTGGTTTCCAAATATTACTGGATTATCTAATATTCTCTATGTAAAGAACATTAAGTATCCTCTATATTTAAAAGAAGAGAGGAGAAATCACAATGTTTGCCCTGTTCCACGTGCTTTACAAGAATTATTTCATTTACCTCTTGTAAAACCCCTATGCAAAATGCATTAGTTTCTCAATTTTACAGGCAAGACAAAAGGCTCAGGGAAAGTAACTTGGATACTAGCTAAGTGTTTTTGGAGGTAGGGCCTGACCTGTGTGGCTTCAGAGACTGTATCCATAACACTACATAGTGTTTTTAGCAGCTGTCATGGTAGGCTTAACTGGGAAAAAAAAGTGCAATTAACTGACTTATAATTATTTTCCAGTCTACATTGTGTTTTCCAGATGGTTCACCTCACAGCACACTCTTAATAGACTTCAAAGATGACATTTCACATGTAATACAATAGCACATTTGTCTTGGACAATAGGGTGAGATAATGAAGCATTTTACCTTTCCCCAAAATCCAGCTGTCTCTAGGATGAAACACAACCTATTGTTAATGCTTTAAACACATTTAGGAGATGAAGTGGATGGGAACATAGTGGGCAGCTGAAACTTAGAATTGTCACAGCTATGCCATTTAATAGGGTGGATAGTTTAAAAGTGAGAAAAGAGAAAGTAAATGGTAAATTGACATAGAATTTCAGAGGTAAATAGAAGGGAATAAGTAGAATCAGTTTCAATATTATAAATAATGTAAGTTTCTAGTGATAATGTTTATATTCTAGTTGGTGAAACTATATATGAATTCACTATGAAGGTGTAGATAGAATTGGTTGAGTGACAAAGAGAGAGAGATAGTAACATAACTTTGCATATGGTTGGATCCAAGCTTTCTAAGTGGAGGGAGAAGGGAATTCAAAATCATTTTGGGGGCTTTTTCAAACTATATATGACCCACCTCCCATCAGGAGGCTTGATTCTCTCCATTTCATCAGTTGAGATTTGTGCTTCAGGATTCATAGTATATCTCTTTCTATAATCCCATATATATTTCTTAACTTTTATTGAACAGTGGACATTTTAGCATCTGTATTAATTTTCCAAGGCTGCCATAGAAAAGTGCCACAGATTAGTTGGCTTAAACAATAGAAATTTATTTTCTCGCAGTTTTGGTCTCTCCTGAGGCATCTCTCCTTGCCTTGGAGGTGGTCACATTCCTGCTGCTTTTTCACATAGTCATCCTGTGCACACGTAAGCTCCTGGTCATCTCTTTTGTGTATTTGAATTCCCTCTTCTTATAAAGACACCAGTCAGATTGGATTAAGACCTAGCCCAAAAGCCTCATTTTAACTTACTCACTTCTTTAAATGCCCTGTCTACTGACATAGTCACAGTCTGAGATAGTGGGGGTTAAAGATTTAGCAATGAATTTTGGAGGGACACAATTCAGTCCATAATGGAATCTTTCTCAATTTTTACACATATCATTTTTGTTAATAATTTATTTATTTGAATAATGTTGAAAATAATATCAACACATTGAAATTTGTTGATATTGATACCAGTCTCTTGTGTCTCTTTTATTATTTATTTATTTATTGGATGATTTTATTTTATTTTATTTCTTAAAACGTTAATTTATTTATTTTGAGAGGGGTAAGGACAGGAAGGGCAGGAAGAGAAAGGGAGAGAGAATCCCAACCAGGGTCTGTGCTGTAAGTGCAGGGCTTGATCTCATGATCTCTTGAACAATGAGATAATGACCTGAGTGGAAATCAAGGGTAGGGTGCTTAACTGACTGAGCCATCCAGACTCCCCACGATTTTATTTTTAAGTAATCTCTACACCCAACATGGGGTCAGACTCACAACCCAGATATCGAAAGTCTCGTGCTTTTTTTACTAACTGAACCAGACTGGCACCCCAACTTTTAATCTTTTAATCTATAGATTCCCTTCTTCATTCCTTTTGTTTTTCTTTTCAATTTATTTGTTGCAGGAACTGGGTTGCTAGTTCTGTAGTTTTCTGAAGTCTGAACTTTGCAGAATGCTTCTTCATGATGACGTTTAACATTTTTCTCTGTCACCTATTTTTTTTTTTTTTTTTTGGTAACTTAGTATTTAGATCCAGAGTCTGGATGTGATTCAGGTTTGATATTTTGGCAAAAATACTTTATAAGTATCATATACCTCTACCAAAAGGCATATAATCTGCTTCTTTGTCTGTAACAGCCATTGATAATTATTTC